TCTCTAAAAATGTTGTTTACATTATATAAATGCAGAATAATACACATCAATATTCCATATATGTTACGAAATAATAAATACATATATTTTTTATTAATTAAAAAAGTTTAAATCCTCGCAGAGGAAGTTGCGGTTAACTGCTAGTTATATGACAACATAAGTGGTCTATTTTTATATGAAAATATATTCTATGCTATGCTTTTAAAAATATGTGAAGTATTTAAACACATACTTCACATATTTAAGCTAGGGCTCGGCTTCTTATACATATAGTTAAATACTTGTGCTACGATGGATATATATAGTTACCTATTGAACTATTCAAGAAGAAACTACTACGTCGTTAACTACATTTCTGGTATTGATTACTTTATTACTCAATTACTATGGATACATATTAATATTATAAATGCGATCTTGTGTCTATTAATCTGGTGTTTCTGGCGTCCATAAGCTAAGGTAACCATTTACCATCAGATGGGCCGTATGCTTGTTTGTCGCCATCGTAGTATAAAATCTGTCAATTTATTACATTTCTACAGTTAAATAACTAAACAGATCCTAACAAAATTTTACGTGAAGATTGTATTGTATTGTAAGTACAAACATAAAATATCTTTTATCCGAAAACAGCAGACAATATCGTGAGTATCACCTAGTATTTCATAATTTAACAATCCAATTTTGTACGCACAATACATCCTTTATTTATAAATTGTCATTTCGTCGTCTATATTACGGCGGATGTAATTTGAGAAAATTATCATACTAGGATTTTCGTTATGGTTTAATTCAACAAATTGCCAGAGGCTTCAATTAGCATTTGGCGACAAAGCTTCGTTACGAAGCTGGAAGCTACTTTTGGTATATAAAATTAATTCTAACGTGGGCATGTTCATCACCCATGACAAAGACATGGCAAAGTAATCATAATACTCCGTAATATTGATGTTGTATGACAATTATATAAAGATCAGTTTATACACTAAATTGTTAGCGTTGTAAGGTACGTAAAGTATGTTCATTTATATTTTTGGTAGATATTCAGAGAATTGATATTGAATTTACGATGGTTGCGAATACGATTTTGTATTCAAAAGTGTGATTGTTTGTATCGGTTTTGGACCTTTCTATTAGACAGCAAAGCCTATGTCATCATAATAGTAGTAGTTCTACACTACACAACACTATATATTTCATACATGTACATACTTACAAAAAATGTAAGTATTTAATATATATATATATATATATTATCAGTTGTCTATTACATAATATAATATGTAGAGAATAAAAAAAATACATAAATAATATGAAATAATTACTTGTCTTATACTATTCGAATACGTTATTGTATCCAAAGCTTTAAAAAACCGTTAAGTATTTTACTTTGAGCTCGAAAGAAAAAGTTAATCTCCGGAACAGGCGTACTCTGTGGGATTTGCAGACAAAGAAGAAACGTCGAAGTACTGTAAAAGGATGATTGCTTGGTTATTACACTACATAATTATACACTCGTTTGTCGAGTGTCGTCTAAAAAAAAAGCCTTGGTCGCCTTTTGAAGAAAGAAAGAAGAAATATATCTCTTTAGTAGAAGTAAACAACTTACATTATGGTAATATAAATTATTACAATGATGTGGGTTGAATACTCAATACGAATTACTAAAAGTAATATGTGGAAATAGTACTGCTTGAAAAGGAACAGATAAATACTATCTGCAGTTTATTATCCATATAATAGTATTTACAATGTGAACTTATAAATTGATTAGTTTTACTACAATCTATATGAGAGCGATATAAGGGAGAGGATTAGATACCTTTCAAAATTCACCTAGGATAGGATACGAATAAACTAGAAAAGACAATTTTCCACCGAATGATATATTACATAAGTCCCTTATTTGTGTATCTTGTTACTGCGAAGGGTAAGCTCCCCAAGCCCATCTCATAGACCGTAGCAGATTTTGTTACCTGTTATATAAAGCAGTTTTTGACAAAATACTTAGAAAGATCTGTTTACACTATAGATAAGGACAACCCATAAACAGGTTACTTAACAATCCTTGGAAATTAAAATAATATTAATTTAGTGTGTTTTATATTACTACTATAGAACAGAGACTGTTTTTATTTTTCACTAATGTATTGAAATGCATACAAATTGACGAAAATATTATAAATATATTCACTTTAGATGATGACGAATATATTAGGTAGATGGTATGCCAAAGTTGTAAATAACAATTATCATTTATTTCTATTTTATTTTTATTATATAGGTATTTTATTGCACTAGAAACAGAAGAGTATTAATTGTTTAATTATTATTGTATGTAGAAAAGGTATTTCTTAAGTCTCGTCTAAAAATACCTGAAAACGATTCTCTGGATTATATTACACTCAAGTCTAAACTCAATTTTAAATTAAAATGGTATAACATAAGTAGGTATACTACAGAACCCTATCATTTATTTTTAAAAGTTTTATTAAAAGAAGCATGGAAAGCTGACGCACGATCCAGAAGATGTTACCAAAAATAATAGAAGGAAAAATGGTTCACATTACTGGCTGATATTTAAATATGGGCCAAAGAGTATTATGTTACGATTTACCTATTTGTACATAGTTTTAATTTTATCTGAAACCTGATTATACAATATCAAAAGTCCAATATATTATTACTATTTTGCCTCATTGACTAGGATTTTATTTACGATGCCTCATGAGATTACTTGTTATTTTTCGACAATGTATAAAAAAATCACCTACTGTTGTTCGAAATAGAACAAGTACCGCGTCTTTACAATAAAAAAAATAGTACAAAAATATATACAGGTTTATGATTGTTCTACATACATATGTATCTCTTATTCTTTTATTTTTCCAGATTTCTGAATAAACGGAAGTAGGTAAAGTTTAAATGAAGATGAAACCAGGAGTTTATTTATTCTAATCCATGTAATGTATCACTGCACTGAGTTAGATAGATTACAAGATTGTATACTTGCGCCACTGCCGAAATATTTCAATATGTAAGGCATCTCTTTTATATTTATAACATTTGGAGAAGGATTGCTTTATATCAATTAATTTGTATCAAAGAATAGCGTAGGCTTAAAATATTTATGTACAAATAATTATTTAAGCCTTTATAATTAATTTGCTTGTATTTATATCCAGATAAATATGACCTCATGCAGTTGATTGATATATAACTGATAATTATATGTATAATGGGAAAGATACTGACATATATGAACGACACATTTGCGGATTAATTCGCGGTTTTGGAATATGTTGGAATGCGAGTGTGTCTCGCGTATCTAATCTATGTCTTTTGTAAAAAGGAACATAAATCCGTTATTTTCCTTTCAAAAAACATAGATTCCATAACTTGACATTCAATCTGCACTAGTTGAGAATGTATTCTGTTATAAGTAAAAGTAGACTAATATTCTATGTCTACATATGCTAATATTGTAAATTAGAAATATTTTTTTGTATGTCACAGAAATTATATTTATTTGTATGACCAACTTGGTTGAAAGATATAACATTCAATAAAATTAACATAATACTTACAATATTACGAGCGCCCGGGTCAACCCCGAGACTAACTACAAGTCCTATATATTTTTATATACAATAATAACAAACGTTTAATATATATAAAAGTATAAATAGAAAAGTCTTGTTTTCGTTCAATACCAAGCGGTTACAGTTAACTCACAATCATTTATATCCATAACACACAGGTGAGAAAAGATTCGATTTTATGAGAAACACAATTAAAGATATCATCGCCATGACGACAGTCATTGTGCTGGTAAATAGGTGCTAAAATGTAAGACCTAGTTCGTGTATTTTCGTACGTAAATTTCCACTAAGACATTTGTAAGTTATAATCTCATCTTACCTGCTATAAAATAATGAATCTGTATAGGTACAATAACTCAAAAAATACCAATTAGACAATAATTGCCCACAATGCAATACTTTCCTGTTCGAGTATTGATATTTTCCCTTAAAATAATTTGATTGAAAATGAATTCAGTGATGGAAAATTTGCAACAAATAATTGTAAAATCATGTTACAAATATTGTACGCCGAGAGACAGAGATAATTAACCAAATAATTAAGAATATGTCGCAAATTTGTAATAAACATTGCCATTAATACAATTAAAGTTTGCCATTTTCAAGAAAATGAGTACACTAAAAATAAAAATATTACATATATCGAAAGCATATTATTTACAAGATGAATAAATGTCAAATTTAAATTAAGTCTTATATAGCCTTTGTCTCTACGTAATCGCTCCATGTCAATACATTTTTCAGGAAAGTTCTTCTATAAATCTATAAATGACCTGTTTTTAATCAAATAAAAAAGTATCGGGCAGTTTGTACTATGGTCCATTACGGGTTATTAATAAATTACTCTAAAGAATACTTTAATATAAAAATGATTTTGTTGACTAATATCATATTTATAGGCAAATTAATATTTTCTAGTTCCTCGTTCGTTACTATCGTCTTTATCCACAGCAATCAATTACATATATCAGTTCAGATTATTAGTTTGTGAGTTGCCATGTCGACTTACTGTAAGGTTATGTTATCTTTACTTCTGGCGTAGAAATATCAATTTCATACTCTACTAGCCTTTGTCCGCAATATCGTTCGCAATGGAATGGGATATATTATTTTGTTAAACAAATAGTCTCCATTATTTCCAATTTTTAATGCTAGGTGATATTTTAACATAAAGGACAAACTTATAAAGATTTTTTATATATACTAGATGAATACTTTAGGAACGCATAGACATTACAACAAACATATAAATATTTCATGGAAGATAACTGTTTTGACATGGAACAAAGCTAAATTTTAAATGGAAACGAAATAATAGGCATTATGTATGTCATAATCACGTAGTTAACATTGTGAATAGATAACTACGTTAGTGGAACTGTTCACAATAGAACTAACCTTGAGCGAAGCCATATCGGAGACTGAACGATGAGTTTGTATGGTCTCGAGCTGGTCTAAGCACCAGTCGAGTTCCTCCACGGTCTCCAGTGCCAGCTTCATATAGGCTTCGTCTGTAACAAGCAAAAATATTAATTAATTATAATTAAAAAATAATGTACATCAATATTACCACGATATATTCTAATATATTTTGGAGCGAAATCTGTTGTTCAATGATAGCATCACGAAAATCAATTCAGAATAGGAAAATATCTCGCATAACATACAAACAAAATTTAGTTGAAATAAGAATCTACAGTTTTCTAAGAACTATATGAGGCAATACTATGTTAGTATAATTTGTATTTATTATATGATGTGAAAATAGTGCGATTATAGTGCACAGACACACAGACAAAAAAACAGAAATTGTAAGAACCGCTTAATAATCAGTGACGTTGTAAAGAGTAGTGTTTAGTTTATCGTATAGGTACATGTGTATGTCGGACTTTATTATATGTATAGATTTCTGACTAGAATGTTAACGAAATGTATTCGTTACGTTTAGCCTACTTACAAAACATGAACATAATTAATAAATCTTATTAAGATGTAACAAATATGGACATGAACTAATTGGTGTTCACATTCAAATAAATACCTAATTTAAATTATCCAGCAATAATCTAAAATTAACTTTATGTTACTTTCGGTGAACCCAACTTGTTTGCGAAACATCAAAGAGAGCTTAGATTCTTACAAAAATGGAATAAGGTAAAAATATACCTACTCATATTACTTATTTGAATATTAATGTACATGTTCACAAATCATTGTAATAAAGAGTAATGTTGGTACATATAATAGTAAATTCCAGAAATAGTTCAGGTATTGAAAATGGTATATAGGAAAACAATATAGCTTAAAGATCGATTTAAATTACTGTCACAGAAGATTTAAAAGAAAGGTACAATTAGAGATACGTGAGTGCGATATATACATATAGTGACATATTGTTTCTTATGCAGATATGTATGCTTCAGGTTTAATTACAAGGCAAGGTAGTGTCATGTGTCAACAATATACCATAATTATAGTAAATTTCGTGGTCTTTCATCTCATGCCGCAGTTTCCCGATATTGTCAAAGTGTGCCTGAACACATTTAGTTAAGATAGTAGTGAATTTAAACCGATTACTTATCGGTTATAATTAATGACTAATTAAAGCTTACCTCTTTAAAATCAGATTTAAATGATGGATAATACGAATATCTTTATTAATTCTATAGTAATACATAGCAGATCAACTTAAATTGTAACACCACAAAATACTTTAATATGAGCAACCAAAATTTAAGGTTTTGTCGGAGGAATTCGATAAATAATATTGTGACACGAGATTTTTATACATTAAATTATAAAGCTGAAAAGTTTGTTTCGTTGAACGCGCTAATATCATGAAGTATGAAACAGTACCTTGAAATAATATTTCAGTGTTAGTTGATATATAGGACTATAGGTTATAACACCACTCTATGAACAAAAGGACCACAGTATACTTGAAAAAAAAAACAGGCGGTGGTAGACACGGGATGGTCTCTTGTATGACGCATAAGCGGATCAGCGTTTTGACAAAGACAATGCAATAAAGACATGATGATTGCATAAATATATAATTTGGAATTAAAACTTGGTAGATGCGTTATATTTTTTATTGCTAAATCCCATATATTGGTACAATTTTATCTGTATACAATAACAAAGTATTTTATGACAATGACGTCAATAAGTACTTACTATAATTTATAGATTACAGTAGTCAACCAACGTGTTTTTTAATCATGATGTAAAATTAATATACTTATTGGAAGTTAATAAAACCATAATACCATTATCATTATCTATATCTTTTGTACACTACCTACCTATGGACAAACAGTTGACTTATAGTTTTTATTTCAGTTTATAAATTAATAAAACTATATATTATAATAAAAAATAGTTTATGAAAAAAATATTCATAATAATATTGAATTCTTTTTTATTACATATAGAATAATTTGTTGTGTATTATTTCCATCATATATTTTTTATTACTTTTATATGTTTTATATATAAGTATCACATCATTTTTACTCTACTTGGTTGTTTTTTTTTCTAGTACAAAATATAATAGTTAGGGACTTGTTATTGATAATATATTTAGAATGTATTTACTTTCGATTTCTGAGAAGGGTTGACGGCTAGTTAGTACGCAGCTGGATAAAATATGGTTTATTTCTATACGAAGAATAATTGTCAGGTGATATGTACGTAATTAGACATATGGACTAGTATAAACCCATAGACATTTTTTATATTCCATTACTAGAATGATAGAGCTTCGCTCGCGCTCTTAGAGCAGAATATAACATATAAAACAAAATATACGAAAGTTTTTTCAACATATTACCTATCGCGTTTTTATGTAAATATTTATAAACACGTTTTTGTAAGTATTTTTTTAAATCGTTAGGGTAATCTACCGATTAATTCCTATTGGTATTGTCACAGCTAAACATATATACGGAAAAGAAGCGCCAAAAAACTACTACAGAGTAGTCATATAAAATTTACATTACAACATTTATAATTAAAAGTACACTAATAGGTATGTTTATAGAAAGTGGTTTTGAAAAACAAATGAACGATGACAATATTAAATAATATACGTTATCATGTGTCGACCATGATGACCATGAAAAAGCATGAGTGGTTCATGCTTTTTCATTCCGGAAAACTAAGATGACTTAACAATAACAATAAAAATATCTTCACAATTCACATAGCATTATCACAAGCTAAGCAGAGCTTGTGTTATGGGTACTAGACAATTGCTATAAATACATACATACATTTTTTCATAAATAATATATACAGAAAAACCCAGACCGATACAAACAATCATACTCAGTCAGTAATCATACTAATCAGTACAATAGTTGTACCGAGCGAGGAATCGAACCTGCTGGATTGGGTCGACCATCGGAAGTAAGGCGTGTGCTAAATAGCTAGACTACCGAGGTCGTCCTATGTCTCCTATTCTGTAATTATAATCTTATTATTATGAAGACTTATTGTGTATTATAATGTAATTTCACTGCCTTGCCTCACCCGAAACACAGTTTACAAAACAAGTTGCTTGACGGAGGATATAGCTCGTAATATTTACATAATAAAGTTGAAGTAATTATTTAATTTCTTCAAATACAGCATATCCGCTTTGGTTGCTTTAAAAGAATCATACAAAAAGAGTACATGATATACAATACACTTTTATTTTACGGAAGGACAAATAGTGACTAATAAACTAATAAATGTAATTGGAAATACCCACTTTAGTGGACAATAAATCATCGCTTATTTCCTAGTCTTATTTATCAATAAAAATATAAAAAAACATACTATTTGGAGGATGTTATTTATTCATATGTATTAAGTAATTGTTAGTTACTGAGGTTCTCATGCAATCACGGAAGAGATTTTTTTAAGAATGGAGTCAGTTACAAATATACCTTTATTTTTAATTAAAAGGTACTGGTTGGAGAAAATGTATCTATGGTATGAGTACGATGAACAAGATTCAACAAAAGACCCCTAAAATTAATTTCTTCACAAATCTGTTAGATACATCAAACAAAGAATACTGTACCTATTTATTGTCTTATCATGGAAAGTGTATATAAATCTATGGTGAAATCGGAGTTAGCAGAAAACGGTTTAAAAAGTTACGTGTTCTATGTGTAAAAGATGATACTACTATAAATTTCCTGAAAGTTACACAAAATTAAAACAATTGTCGAATATTTATAATTTAAGATAAAAAATACGGACAAAAATTACGATTTGCATTAAATCTAATATTACAGATTAAATTTAATATACTTTAATTTTATTATTTTTTTAATAAACAAGGAATAACTCCACTCAAATAATTGTAATAATTTACGATAATCAATGTGTGAAATAGGTCATAACGCATATGTTAATTGTGACTCATTATTGACACTCGAATGAGTATTATAGGGTCAGCTTATCGGTATAACAACAGGCTCGTTTAACAGGGCATCTTAAAGTTAATTGATAAAAAATTTTGATATTGTTAGAGCATTGTGTGAATAACACAGAAGATTCATAAGATAGCAGATATGTATTCGTTTCCACCCCCAAAATACGCCAAAGATGATAAAGACAAAAATATTTATAAGATATTCAGCATTTCTAAAGGTTCAAGTGTTGTCATTAGGCGAAATTAGAAGACGAGTTTGAGGATTATACGCAATTCAAACTTGTTCCTCTTAATTTCTAAACAAATTGGACTTCATAAGTTAGTATTCAGAAATGGCGAGAAAATTTTGTTTCTTGACCTTTGATAATTTATTTACGAAATAAAGCTGGAAAAATATTTTTATTATACGGAAAATAGAAATATACTTGCTGTAAGGGTATATCATTTAAATTGTTGATTAGTTACTTAAATAGCCATATCAAAATTAATACCAAAATAAAAATATATTGGACAAACATTAATAATGCTATAACTTTAAAATTAAAAATATCTATTCAGTCGCATTATCTACAATTGTCTATATATTTATCCTCTCATGCAGATAATGTTGGCTTACTATTTAACCGGTTCCGGAATGACACAGAGATAATTCACAATTATCGATATGTTAAAGGTCCTGATAATTAAGAAGATTAATTATAATTGTTTACTGTATTGCAAGGAGCACGTGATTAGCGCGTCACAAAGTGGTGTCTTCTTCTAGATAACTAGCGAGTTTTGACGCGCTTTGACCCCATGTGAAGTAAATAAAGATTACTCGTTGTCTGCAACCAATCGATGACAAGCTTGTAACGTAAATATTATGAAATCTATATTAATACTAGTAGTTAAATATGTTAACGTAAACAGACAGCCACTACCACCTTATTTACTGAAAGTACTGTTTTATATAGGTCTTAAAAGAATTATAGTTATACTACGACTACAACTTTATTAAAGTCGTCTAAGTAAGTACTGTGTCTCATTTATTTCTGCCGCCATGCAACTGGTTTTGTAAAACGTGTTTCGAGTAAAGTCTGAGAT